TTTTTTGCTGATGGCCTGATGGTGGGAGGTTACTCCATCCCATATTCCAACAGAAGGCGGAACCCATCCCATTTTCGAAACCGACACCTAAAAACGGTCAACCCAACACGACAACTCAAAAGTGGAGCAGCATTTGGGCAATGCCTTATCAGAGAGATTAAGGACACCCGAATCGGACTTATTTCTTTATTTTCTCACCTTATTTTTGTGTATTTATCTCGACCCCTGCCCTTGGCACTGTCATATCCGTGCATACCTGACCCCGACCCCGACCCTGACCCCGACCTGACTTCCGGACCTCCACCCTCTTCACCTCCGGAGTCATAACCTACCGCTGCCGTTTCCGATACTCACCTTCGGTCTTGGCAACACACCTCCCCTTACCTCTCTGACCCTATCTCCGTCTGCTCCGATACTCATCTCAGACCGAACACCGCCCCACTCGCCACCCTTCCTACTACTCTGCTCCCCCTTCACAACACCTCCACCCTCCCGTCATCCTCCTACGCTTCCCCCACCCGCTCCGATACTCACCTTCGGACCTGACTACTCTCCTTTCCGCCACTCCCTCTTCCTTACCTTTCCCCTCTCTTCTCCCTCTGTTACTCCTCCGCCACCCTTCCGCCAAGTTACGACCTTCCACCGCTGTTCCGTACTTCGCACTCGGACACTGCTCATACCTTACTCCGAGCCTCCGTCATAGTCCCTACCTCGGACTTTGACTCCACCTCCGTCTTAGTCCATTGCATTGGTGACCTCATACTACGTAAACACCATTGCCAATATCCCTCGGACTTTCAACCCCGCCTCCGTAACCTCCGTAAGCTCCGCAACCCCCAAGCTTCACAGACTGCCTTCGGCACTCTCGCCGTTTGTAATGTATCTCTCGCATTTTCCCCTCATCCCTATTTGGACTACTGCTTCTTTCTATTCTAGCCAGTTAGTCATCATCCCCACTTCCCCTCATCCTCCTGCCCCTCTGGGCCTCGCCCTCCCTACCTCCTTTCGGACGTATCACAGGTCCTGCCTTATGACCTTCGGTACCGCTCCACTCCCGCTACCCTTTGTTCCCGTTCGGACATCTTCGTTCCGATTCGGTCACCCTTTGTTCTCCTTGTGCTTTTGCCCCTTCTTTATATATATCGGCGCTTGTACATACTCGTTTTGGTTTCAGTCCGAAATTGACCTGAAATGCCCCCTAGAGACTTCCTGCTCACCTACTGTGAAATTAAGGACCAAATGGACAAACAGCAATGGCACAGCGCTCCGCTTGAGTCGCTGAGGCCAAGGTCCCTCCACGCTAAGTCTCCGATTCCACTCCGGAGTCGTCTGTTCCGCCCCATTCTAACAGGCGCTCTCACGAGCAGCCTACAGTTTGCAGGTTAAATATCCAGAATAAACAACTGATTTTTCCATTTTTTTTTTTTCATTTCAGCGACCGCTTTCGCATTCCTGCACTGTCAGGGGACAACTCCCGGGTCCCCATGACCCTCCCCTATGGTCCACAGCCTGTGGTGTAACCAGCCCTATCCAGGGCACAACCTACTGTGGGTAAGGAGATGAATAGATAAAGCAGTAGGTAAGGTACACTTGCCTACTGTGGGTGAGATGAGAAGGAAGCTAACTTCTCATCTTCCCACAGTGGCCACAATATCAAGCAAACTTCTGGGGATACCCGGAAGTCACATGAAGGGATAGGGACCGGGCCCGGAGCATGCGGTGCGCGGAGTGTGCACGCATGCGGGAAGCGCAGTGGGTGGATGCGGGTCCGGATGCGGGTCCGGATGCGGGTCTGGGTCCGGGCTAGTCAGGGTGTGTGCCCTGACATGCACTGACCAATGCTTAACTCGTCAATTTATTAACTTCCTACAAGACTTGCCTGCGCTCAGACCTGTTCTTCATTACATATTCTTTCTTTCTACTTACAATTGACTCAGAAGGATTTTGTCAGGGATGGCTCGAGGAAGGCAGAGGTAGCGGTGTAACGCTTGGCGCTAGCGGCCCGGACGGTGGCGGGGCGGTGAGACCGTATAGTGGATAGCCCTTACTCAGGCTTACGTCCCTGTGTGGCTTCTTAGGCTGAAGCGGGAAATGTATTGTTATTAGGGTGAGAAGCCAGACTAAACTAGGGTACTTGCCTGAAGCGGGAAATGAGAAGAAGGTTGCTTCTTCAGTCCTGCTTTGGCTTAGTTTATATACATGTGTGAATGGGTCACGTGGGGTTGCCATGTCACCCTCGGATGAAGCCGGGTTACCGTTGGTGGTTCCGCAGTCGATCCCGAGTGTTGGAGGGGAAGTACAAGTAGAAGTGCGCGGCGCATCCGGTGTTGCGGCGCCCCTACGGGGTGCTCAGCATCGGACGCATCCATGCTACAAGGGTAGGAAAGAAAGAGAGGTCGTCTGTATAAAGATAGAAAAAGAGAAGAAGGAAAGGAGAGAGAATGAGGGAATGAGACAAAAGGAAAAGGAGGTGGCGGTGGCGGCGTGCCCTGACAGATTTCTCCACCTGAAAACGCTCATATCTGTTAGGGTCATACCCAGGCTTTGGAGTGTTACTCTGCACAGAGTCATACACTCATAGCAATATTACGCTTTTTTCGATGCTGAAAATTTGTCATCTCTTTCCCCTTTTGGTTTCTTTCTTTTCACTTTACATAATTTTTCTTACGTTTCAAGGTGTCCACACCCGTGGTCATGGGGACCCCGGTCAGGTCCGAGGTCGGACTGCGTGTCCCGGGTCTGTTGGTCTGAACAAACGGAGTTATGATGGAGTAACAGATTTAGCTACAAGCACCTGCACCAACCTGCCATCCTGCCACCATCTCTAAAGTCTTCTCTCGTGCTAAGAGATCTTCCATCTCTGTTTCCAGCGCTAAGTGGCGCTCACCCTGGATCCAATAAAGATCCCACATTGTATTGTGTGTCAAATTAAAGATATCTTGTATCCTCTTCCCCTGTAAGCTTACACCCTGAAAGCAAATCATGAATAAATCTTCCGAGAAGAATGGGAATGAGACTTACTTGGGGATCTTGATGGGAGGTTCCGTGCAAAATTTATTTCAGCATGTTCCATGTTGCTGTCACTTGTGAGGTCTTGGAGAAGGTGGGCATGGAATGGATGATAGTCGTGGTTCACATCATCAGTGATGGATGTGGGATGCCCATGCTCAGGCTCCAGACGACTCCCAGTGTCAGGGATCGGCCCCTGACCCCGCTGTCAGGGCACCCAACCACACCCCAGAACCACCTTCCCAGACCTCCCCATCCCTACATATCCCTACATATCCCTCACAACTTCAGCCCGCATGCGAGCCTGCGGGAAAAGTCACATGGGTCAAGGCGAGCAACTCGCCTTAACCCATGTGACACCTTTTCCGAGTCGTGGGAACATGCTCGGCTTCTACCCGGAGTCACGTTAGGAACTGTACAGTACACTTCCCTTTTATAGTAGCCAAGCGGGGAATAGGGAAACTTACCCTTCTTCTCAACTCAATCCCCGCTTAGGCAAGTTGTAGTTACCCTCTGTAATACATGACAACTCAATCCCCGCTTAGTCCCTTCAGTGAGTTTGAGGAGCTGAGGACAGGGTCTAGTGCCCAACCATCCGGAACACCACACACACCTAGGCCTGAGGTCGGGCTGTCCCTGATCGAGGACCGAGCCCTGACACCCAGAAGGATCACAATCACTGGCGGAAGGAGCAAGTCCAAATGAGTGACGAATTCTCTTCCGGTGTGAGCCTTCCACTGTATGTTGGTGCATGCATTTCACAAGATAACAAGCTAGCTTTGCTACTGTGCCTTGAATATCAGGTGAAAGCGCGAGAGCTTAGGATTCATCAGTATGGTAATGAATACGCTTGAATCAAATTTACGAGATGTCTGCATACCAGTCACCTGTAGTTCTTCTGCTGAGCGCCTTTCTGTAATGCTTCCATCTGAAATACCCTCGGAATCCCGAGCCTCCAGTGTATTTGTATGCAAAGCTACATATCCCTTGCACTTTGCGACTTGGTGGTTATTATTTCCAAAAAACCTATCAAGATGATAGGAATGTCCCCACATGGGACTAAGAACACCCATGTTGTGCTAGGGAAGGATGGTGAGGATAGGTGAATAATGAATCATGCTCCGACATTTTGGAAAATCCCAACACAAACTTAAAGCGTGGCAACTCAGGGTGGCGAAAGGCCACATTTGCAAATTACTCAGTCATTGCGGTATCTAATGCATAATGTAGCATACATCCTGTGCAAAGAAGTGAGATGTGGAAGGTCGTGAACGACTTTGAATGTTGGGATTTCCTGTTGAAAGATGGCACGGACCGTGGGATTGACTTGCGACCATTGAGTCGGACCCATGGACTTCGGTCTTTGGGACCTCGTGGGACCAGGTCTGTGCAACACTGGCCCCTTGGTATCGGTTCAGTTTGATCAGTACCATCATATCTGAAGGCCACCATGTATGACCTTCACTCGCTGCCATGGCTGAATGTTTTCCCCTGTATCGGGTTGTTGCGAGAAAGATGATCGAATTCCATTGACGCTTGCAACATAACAACATAGTTATTTGATGAGAACGGAACAAGTGAGTAGTGCAGAGTTTGGCGAAGCTTGAAGCGCAAGCACTCTAGGTCAAAAGCTCCCTCGGAATCTAGCACACCAATCTTTCCCATGATAGCCGAGAAACTTGCTAGAATGATTCACGATCTGGTATACCCCCTTTTCCCGAGTGGATGTGCCAAACTTAGAGCAAACACCCCAGGTGGTTGCTTACACTGAACGGCCCGTCATTCATTGCTGGTTTTGGGCTGCTAATTGCTCATGGTACCGCCGAACCCGGTATACTGAAGTTCTGGGGGAGGGGGGTCTCCTGAAGAAGGCATGTTATTCTATCTTCCATCCTGGAGCGACAGCAGCTATTTAGGTTCCCGAACCATAATAACAGATGGGGATTGATGGTGCGGATTTGATCGTCATCACCCTTCTCCATGCAGATGCAGATGTAAATGGGACACCAGGCGAAAGACTCGGTATCGTGTCGGTAGTGACGTGGAGCCAAACCCTCGGATGCCTGATCACTGAATAGGTCCAGAGTCATGAGTGGCATAGTCCCAGTGTTGTCCTTTCCACTTGGTTTCCGATTCTGTTGGTCCAATCGGGCCAGGTCGAAGTCGTTAAGAACCCTTTGCTTCGTGGCTGGAGTGTGCGTCAGGTTGTCTACGCTGATGTCCCCATGCTGGATCTCGTTGTCCCACAGTACCCAATGGCCTGCCAACAGATGAATGAGCAGAAAAAAAAACCTTACAGAAGAAACAGTCCACGAATGCGATTGGTATGTCTTCCTTGCCCAGATACTTGAGTTTTCCCAAATATCTGGATATGTTGATCCGGAGCACTCGCGCGCCAGTCGTCTCTGGATCCAGGAACTCTCAGCTGAACTTCGTCGAACACGTTGCATACGGAGGGTCGATATGGTCGAACATCGGGGGGATGTGATCCTTCGTCAGGTCGTTGGTTTCACCGGTTTGCGTTGCCTCCTTGATGATGTCCACCTCACACTGGTATGCGTCTCCTCCGGCCAGGAAGACTTGGTGGTCAAGTCACCCTTGGGGGTAGCTCCAAACACGCCCGTCGAACGCCCAACCAGGCTGACCCCATTGTAGATGGGATTGTTGAAGTATTATCGCCGATGGTGGCTTTAAGGCATTGTGAACCATCAATGTCCCCTTCTTGGCGAATGCTTGAATCTCGAACGCAGTGAAGAAATCCCAGCGCGCCAGATCGAACCTTGCGATGAGAAGCAGGAGCAGGCGGAAGCGTGCCAACTCGTCGATGATGTCGAAGCCCCTCGTTCGAATAATGCCTTCTTTCCACTCTCGTTGCCGTTCAACTTCTCTTCACGCTGATAATAGCATAATCCCACTCCGAAGCCAATCGTGCCATCCATGAATGGGAGCGTTAACCCTTTCGCGCATGGCGCTCGCAAGCCCGAGCCTCCCCTAGCTTTGCCATCTCGGTCTTAGTGAAGAGTTGGACTTGCATGTAGGTAGGGATATTTAGTTTTTACTACTTCAGGTGAACCCCATACACGAACACAAATGAACGTTCTCCGACCCAGTTATGATCATCAGTACGCCGGATGCATGACCTGGTGTCTGATGCATGTGAGTGATCATATTATGCTAGCAGAGTAGGCACCAAGTTAACAACAGCAGACTTGATTGCGTGATGCAGATCCCGAAATTTCGGAGCGCCACGCGAACTGGACCCAACGATTAATGTGATACAAAGGATGAGCTGGACCACATGCGCCCGGAACGGGCATCAGATTTAAGCACTTGACATTCAGAAACGAAGCCACTACCTTCGAAGTGGTGGTGAGAAGGGGGACTAGCTCGCCTTCGCATGTCGCAGGACCACAAGATAATCAAATAAGCAACGTGGATTTAACTATTGATAACCCAGCGTTGCTTGCATCCATGCCACTTGCAGCGGCCCGGTACATAGCAGCAAGTTAAGTTTCAGCGCATTGGAGATAGACCAAAGGAAGTAACGTAGAGCTCAATAGGCACACGTCTCAGTCTCTCGTAAACAGTGCAATAAGAAGTAATAGTAATATTGTACGCAGCTACCTGGATAATAGCGCACCATATGGGGGGGCCGAGCCATAAAATCGACTAATGCAGGGGGCGTAACCCAATGCCATGGCGAAAAAAATACAAAAGTGGACCTGATCGGCTTACCATTGAAAAATTTCTTCTTGCCCAACAATGAGGGAACGTAAGATATTCCTGGACATGCAAGGATGTCAGCACGAGTGAGGAGAATGATACTTACGGTTGGGTGGACATCATGCGAGCCAACTGGCTCGCACGGTCCCACCCTAACAGGAGGGGGCTGTGAGAACATGTCCATACCGACGCCACAGGGCGTCCCGCCGAAGTGTCCCTCCTCCGCTCTCCCGAAATAAATGGAATATACCACTGTGTGAACGAATTCAATGAACATTGCTTGCGAGCGAAAAAAAAAAACACGATACGTACTATTCATATGACGGAAGTGATGTGTTCGCCACTTTGTTGTACATGTAGGTATGGCCCAGAAATAGAGTATAACGCTGATCGATGAGCTACACAAGAAGGGAGAGATCCAAGACAGAATAAGCCCGGAAACAGGGTGCCCCAAAGAAAGTAAGTTGTGACCGAAAAGCTGAGAGCTTCAAGGGGAATGGCCCGGGGCAAGGGCACACGTCGAGACCAGGTGATAGAAATGTGTTGGAGCAGAAAGGAAGGCGGGTCGTTCTTTCTCACTGTGCGTCCATTGGATAGAAAGGGGCGTGTATGGGTTCCCTACTCAATTTGCCTCCGCTTTATTGTCTACTCCCCTCTGTCAATGGAACCTGCAAGGCGCGTCAAATCCATAAGGTATACAACGGGTCGTCGGAGTCCACGGGCGCCCAAACAGCCATAAGGGAAAGCAGGATGTGTAAACCCGGCAGCCAGCAAAGCAGAGGGTTGATGATGATGATAAATCTATCTTAATACCCCGCGGCCTCGTGATGACGTGGCAGTGCGGCTGTCCCATCGGTACACCGTGGCGTACATGAGGGACTTTCTATACATAGTGTGTGGGTAGTCTGGGTGGTATCGTCGGGTGATAGTGATCCTCGGGGTTTGTGGTATCTGTGGGTGTTGTCGTGTTGTTGATAATAGAGATAAAAAAGAAATAAAGAAAGAAAATTTTTTGACGCTCTCGTCTGTTCACCCTGCCCGCCTCAGTACCTCGATCGCCTCTTCCCTTCATCCATCTCCATTCTCCAGCTGTGTCGTGTTTCCTTACTGAGTCCGTTGCGCTTCCTGGTCTAACCTGCATCCCTTATCTCAGGAGTCGCAATGCTTTCCCTGGGTCGATTGTCGGATCTGGGCTTGTCGCCTGTTCTGGACTTTTTGATGAAGGACGAGAGTCTCTCTACGCCTTTCACTCTGCCTACGAGGGTTCTGAACCTGGTCTGGTTGCTGCGTCCTAGTAGGTGCCTGTGTCTGCTTGTTCGGGGGCATTCTGCAAGGATGTGGGTCCTCGTTTGTCTGGGTTTGCCACACTGGCAATCACTACTCTCCGTTGTGATGCCGAATCGGTGATAGTATTCGCCTATATGGGCGTGTCCTGTTCGGAATTGGAGGACTTGGCTGAAGGTTTTTCTGTTGAGGTTGCGGAATCGTTTGGTGGGCTTGAGTTTTGGTGCGAACTGGTTCGCTTCGTAGAAACCTGACCTTGGGGGGTTTGGGGCATTCACCCATCGGTGCGTCCATTCTTCGTTCATCTCTCTCTTGCATAGGCTTTCCACGTAAGATAGGGATTTGAATTTTGGCCGGGCTGGGCTTAGGTGGGCACCTTCCTTGGCTAGTTGATCCGCTCTCTTGTTGCCTGGTATCCCAAAGTGGCCTGGGCACCAGTGCAGCGCAATTTTGACGTCTTCAAATTCGGTTAGTATTTTGCATACTGTTTTCCTGAATTCTCTCGCCGTCTCCTGTGCTTTGTGTGGTTTGCCTTGGAATATGCGTTTCAGTGCCCCTGTGTTATCTGCGTATATGACAATGTGTGTGGGTTTTTTGGTGATGTTACCGTCATCCATTGCTCATCTGATATTGTCTGCAGCCGTCTTTAGGCCCATCATTTCCGCGTCGTAGGCCTCCATGTATTCTCCCATGGCACCTTTTTCCTCGAATATGACTTTTCCGCAGGTATATCCTACTGTGCCGTAGCCGGTTTTGATCCTTCCATCTTCTTTGTATCGGGAGCCGTCCGAGTATACGAAGAGGAGGTCTGGGTCATCTTCGCATTCAGTGGTGAATGCCGAGTGGTCATCGGCCCATTCCTGTTTTACTGAGTCGCTGGGTTTATTGGGTGGGGTAAAGAGTTGTATGCGTTCGGAGATGTCATGTTCGGAGATGGCCCATGGGCTTTCAAGGAGGGGGTTGATCCTTTCTGTCCCTGAGATGATGTTGTTGGCGATCCGGGTTATGCAGGTGGAAAATCGTTTTTTCGGGTCTGCCTTGTGTCTTTTGCTGGGGTCGAAGACTGGGAGGGGTGGTGGGGTGGAGGGGGTGGTGCATCTTCTTTGGTGTGGGTACAGTCTATTGATGACCGGGTGGTCATCGGGGAGGTGGGCAAGTCTGGTGGCCTCCATTTCCATCCTGTAATCTAGGTATAGGTCAATGGGAGGGATGGATGCTTCTATTTCCATGGCATTGATGCTGGTTGTGCAGAATGCTCCAGTTAGCATTCTGAGGCACTTGTTCTGTAAGGTGGACAAAGTCTTTAGTATGAGTCCGGGTTTGGAGCGCCAGAAAATAGGGAGCCCATAGAGGGCGATTGGGAGGACGGCTCCTATATACATCTGGCGCAGATGAGTTTGGTGTATTCCTCTCTCTGAGTTTCCCAGCATTCTCAGTGCCTGTGCCGCGCTTGCAGCCTTCGCGGCTGTTTTCTTTATGTGCTCGGTGAACTTGAGTTGTGGGTCGAACCAGATGCCTAAGTATCTCATTAGGCTGGAGGGGTTTATCGTTCTGGTTGTGCCTTCCTCGTTCGTGGGTATGGTGATCGATGGGCCGGGGCCTGCATTTCTGCCGGTCCTGGATTTGGTGAAGTGCATCAGGTCGTTCTTTACTTGGTCAGTTTTGAGTCCTCTCCTCCTCAGCCAGCCGTGGGCTGCTGTGAATGCCAGCTGAACTACTTTTGACGCTTCGGCTCTTGATGGAGCTGATGCTGCCAGTGAGCCATTGTCTACATATAGCGTTAGCGGCGATAGTTTTATTAGTCCCTTGTTGAGTTGCGGGCTTAGCTCTGGGTCTGCAGCCAGCTTTTCCATGGTCTCCTCTGCTACTGCTCTGCACAACGGGGAGGTGAAGAATGCGGCGAGGATTGGGGAGACACATGATCCTTGTGGGACGCCTGTTGTGATCAGTTTGAGTTTGTCACGTTTACCGTCGAGACAGATGGCCGCCTTTCTGTCCGTTAGGAAACTGTGGGTCCATTTGACTATGGGAATGGGGATGTGGTGTTTCCTCATGGTGTCGATGAGGTGTGTATGGGGGATGAAGTCGAAGAACCCGGTTATGTCAAAGGTAAGCATTGATACCACTTTGGCAGCCTCTATGTCGTGTGTGATCGTGAGTAGAGCATCCTGCGCTGATCTTCCAGGTAGGCCACCATACTGGGTGTTGGGGAATAGCTGGTGTTTCGCAGCTAGGAAGGCTAGTCTGCGTGCTTGAACTCTTTCCAAGGCTTTGCCTGAGACCTCTAGGAGCTGGATGAGTCTATAGGATCGGGGGAGTGCATAGTCCCTGTTGGGTTTCTGCAGGGCTACCGCAATGGCGGTTCTCCATATTTTGGGGTGGTATCCTGAGTCGGCACATAGTCTCAGGAGGTGGTAGATCTCATTTTCCATTGTTTGCCATGCCCATCGCCATGCTCGGCCCGTCAGGCCTGATATACCTGGTGCATTGAGTTGGGCGGCTGTGAATATGGCATCGTGGACTTCTCTTTTGGTTACACTGATGTACTCCATATCCTCATTGGAGGGGGTGAGGTTGATTTCTGGGGCGTCAGGTAATTGGGGTGGTTGGGGGAAGAGGTTTTCATGTAGTATATTGCATTTGTCTTTGTGGTTTACTGCCGGGTGGTTTTTATCACTCATGATTGGGGGTGAAATATATGTTCTTTGGCCTTTCGGAAGTCCCACAAGTTGCTCGGGTTGGCTTCTTCTGTGAGCTTACGATAGTGTTCCTGTTTTGCTTTTCTGATATGTGTGCGTATATCTTTATGCAGGGATTTTACTTTGTCCATGAGGTATATGTCATATCTGTGCATACCCGACCCTGACCTGACCTCCGGACCTCCACCCTCTTCACCTCCAGAGTCATAACCTACCGCTGCCGTTCCGATACTCACCTTCGGTCTTGGCAACACACCTCCTCCTTACCCCCCACACCACCTCTACTCCTCCTCCTCCTACTCCACTCCCCCTCCGCAACGCCTCCACCCTCCCGTAATCCTCCTATGCTTCCCCCGTCCGCTCCAATACTTGCCTTCAGACCTGACAACCCTCCTCTCCACCACTCCTTCCCCCTTACCTTTCCCCTCTCTCCTCCCTCTGGTACTCCTCCACCACCCTTCTGCCAAGTTACGACCTTCCGCCACTGTCCCGTACTTCCTACTCAGATGCCGATCGTATCTTCGCTCCGAGCCTCCATCATAGTCACGACCTCGGACTTTGACTCCACCTTGGTCTTAGTCCATTGCATTGGTGACCTCATACTACGTAAACACCATTGCCAATGTCCCTCGGACTTTCAACCCCGCTCCCGTAACCCCCATAAGCTCTGCAACCCCTGAGCTTCGCGGATCGCCTTCGGCACTTTCACCGCTTGTAATGTATCTCTCGCGTTTACCCCTCATCCCTATTTGGACTACTGCTTCTTCCCATTCTAGCCAGTTAGTCATCATCCCCACTTCTCCTCATCCTCCTGCCTTGCTCTCCCTACCTCCTTTCGGATGTATCACAGGTCCTCCCTTATGACCTTTTGGTACCGCTCCGCTCCTTCTTCCCTTTGTCCCCGTTCGGACGTCTTCGTTCCGATTCGGTTCCCCTTTGTTTCTGTCAGGGTTCAGCACCCTGCCTTAGGGTGCCCCGGACTCCCCACCTACTTTACCCCCTTTTATTCTTTGACTGTTGCCTTGTTGTTGCCTTTGTGTGTTGTGTACATGCGCGCGCACGGGATAGCGTGGGAACTTTCTGAGTGAGCAGCTCGCCCAGAATGTTCCCACGGGTCACAGCCACAGTTCTGGGCGAGCAACTCGCCCAGAACGTTCCCACGCTTACTGGGCACTGCCACCTGGATGTTCCCTCCGGGTCACACTACACAACTCTAGGAGCTGTATAGTTGTGGGCATGTGACCCATTCCTTTATATATAGCAACCATGCAGGGAGATGAGACCTTTACCCTTCTTCTCATCTCATGCCCCACATAGGCAAGTGTATATATTCCCTTTCTTTTACTATACATCTCATGCCCTGCATAGTGTGAGGACAGGTTAGATGGGGGCTGAGGTCAGGGAGCCTCCAAGTCCGAGGCTGGGCCCTGACAGTTTCCTTGTGCTTTTGCCCCTTCCATTATATATATCAGCGCTTGTACATACTCATGGGTTCAGTCCGAAACCGACCTGAAATGCCCCCTAGAGACTTCCTGCTCACCTACTGTGAAATTAAGGACCAAATGGACAAACAGCAATGGCACAGCGCTCCGCTTGAGTCGCTGAGGCCAAGGTCCCTCCATGCTAAGTCTCTGATTCCACTCCGGAGTTGTCTGAATCCGCCCATCTCTAACAGTATTTCGGACTCCACATTGCTGTTGTCTAGTTCCGACATCGAGCACCTGGCACCCAACTGCCTCCACCTCCCACAGTTGACCGCACCCTCTGTCTTGGCTTCGGGTAGGCCACCCAACCCCCACCTTCCTTCTTCCTCGGTCCCTTGTCGCTTTGC